CCGCCCGCAGCCCGCGCTGCCGCTCGCCCCGGACCGAGACTCCAAAGCTTTCCACACACCCGGCGCCAGCATCACAATGCGCCCTTTCCCAGGGCAGCGCCAAGCCCACACCCACACCAGAACCACGCAGCCTCATCGCTCAGCAGGACAAACCGAGCGCGCAGTGGGCGATGCTGACAGCACGGGCAGCAAACGGAAACTCCCCGCCTGCATCTCCACGCTCAGCAACTGGACACATCCAAGCGTTCTGGCATAGGACAGAGTGAGAAAATCCCTCGCAGAAGCTTGAAGCGCCTTGAAGACTTTTTCCCAGAAAGCACATCCTACAAGGAATTCTGTCTTCACGTAAGTAGTCAGTCTTTATTTCAATTCTATATATTTTTACAATTTTTGAACTCAGAGTTATACCAATGTTAAGGAGTCTAACTTCAGCACAAAAGAACTTGAGGGTGTCTTTATTAATATTCCATGCATCACAGACATCGTTCCAAGAACCAGTTATTATAGCTGGGGTAGCAATCCATCTCCGGTGGAATGAGCAAAATAATTCTCAGCACAGTTAAGTAGATAAAAGGAGACAGGGGAAAAATTAGAATGCAAACGCTCTAACACAAATGGAGAAACTTTTATAGGGACAGCTTTCTAGTCACATCAAGAAGCCTCTGAATTCAAAACAAGAATGAGGAAAAAACCCCCAATGTCCTGTTTTCAAGTTCTTCTCGATTCTAACTCCACAAAATTACATTTCATGCACATTTTGCATTTCCATGCATATAATGACAATTGACAGGTTTTAATGGCTCTCTACATTTAAGAACCCAACCGACTACATACTCTAGTGCTGTATTTCCTAGACAATCCCTGGTGGACAGAACACAAAAGCCACACACAGGTCAAAGGAAGATTCTCTTATGCATTTTCCTACTCCTCTCTGTCCTCAAGAAATTAAGACCCCTGCACTCATGGTGTCAAAAGAGCCTTTTACTCTGCAGAGCTGGAATTGCCAGCATTGCAATGGGTGGATGAGACAAATTCACTCTTTCACTGGGCAGCAATAGTGAAGCATCTGCAGATGCACAAGGGCCAAACAGACAGACATGTTGAGAAGAAAGTGTAACACACAGGGACCACACATCTCACACAGAGACATCCAAAGCCCCAGGAAGAAAAACACCCATGATAAGAGGACATCATGTCATGGAATTCAGAACCATCTTGCAATTCTGAGCAGGGCAATGGGCTTTGGGCCATTTCAGCAAGTGTGAGATCTGTCTACACAATTGTGCAGTTGTGTTAATACCAATGAATAAGAGTTTCATGGTCTGGTCTGACAGCAAGAGATACAGAAGAATAGCTGGAGTGCTAACCCCCTTCTTCAAGTCTATCAGAAATGGCCAAATCAGAGATGAAGTATATAACTGCCACAGTGAGAGCCCGACTTTCTTATATTTGCTTCTATTTTTCTCTTTTTGGAGAACCAGGCAACTTCTATTCTGACTTGGAATATAAGGGAAATACCTTATGACATTTAGAAACACGAGTTTACTCTGAAGGATCCATTGCCACCTGCTGCTGCCTGGATCCCATTGTCCCACAGGTACTGAAACCTCTGGCAGTGCAGAGCCCAGCTAGTTGAAGGAAAGAGAATTGAAGTGTCCTGCAGAGAGAGTGCCAGGATTGTCTGGTGCCGTGTCCTCGGTGCTGACAGGGACACAGGGGAAATGCTGTTCTTCCTCCAGGCCCTGGCCCACAGCGCAGTGATAGATAGTGGATAAGAAGAAAAAGGGCTTAAAGAGAATGCAAATAACTCTATCACAAATTGAGAAACTTCAGTAGGAACAGCTTTCTAGTCTCAGAGAGAAGCCTCTGAATTCAGAAACAAGAATGAGCAAAGAAAACTCAAAGTCCTGTTTTCATGTTCTTCTTGATTCTACCTTCAGAAAATTATATTTTATGGACAAGTGGTGTTCTCATGCTCATTAAGACAATTAATAAGTTTTCATGATTTTCCACTGTTATAGCCTACCCTAATGCATCTTTCAGCGCTGAATTTCCAAGACAATTCCAGGTGGACATAACACAAATACATATTAGATAAAGGATGATTTTGTGAATGTTCCTACTCTTCTCTGCCTTGAAGAAGATGAGAGCCCTGTACCCATAGGGTCAAAACAGCCTTTTACTCTGCAGAACTGGAATTGCCGCACAGCAATGGCTGGATGGGACAAATTCACTCTTTGAGAGGGCAGCATTCGTGAAGCATCAGCAGATGCACAAATGGTGAACAGACATACTGAGAGAAAAGCATAAAGAACAAAGCCCACATACACAGAGACCTCCAAATCCCCAGAAAGAAAAAGCCCCACGTTAAACAGAACATTATGACAGAGTATTCAGAAGTACCTCGCTTTTCTGAGCTGGGCAAAGAGCATTGGGCTATTGCAGCAAGTGTGGGACTTGTCTACACAACTGTGCCATTCTGTTATAGCAATGAAGAAGTAAGAGTTTCATGGACTGGTCTGATAGCAAGAGATACAGGAGAATAGCTGGAGTACTAATCCCCTTCTTAACGCCTATCAGAAATGACAATATCAGAGATGAAGCATATCACAGCCAGAATGAGAGACCAACTTTCTCTAATTTGCTTCTACTTTTCCCTTCTGGAGAACCTGACAACTTCTATTCTGAAATAGAATATGAAGGAAATTGGTTATGGCATTGGAAACACAAGTTTTCTCTGAAGAAACCATTGCCAAATGCCACTGCCTGGATCCCATCTCCAACGAGCAGTGAAACCTCTGGCAGTGCAGAGCCCAGCTAGTTGAAGGAAAGAGAATTGAAGTGTCCTGCAGAGAGAGTGCCAGGATTGTCTGGTGCCGTGTCCTCGGTGCTGACAGGGACACAGGGGAAATGCTGTTCTTCCTCCAGGCCCTGGCCCACGGCGCAGTGATAGATAGTGGATAAGAAGAAAAAGGGCTTAAAGAGAATGGAAATAACTCTATCACAAATGGAGAAACTTCAGTAGGAACAGCTTTTTAGTCTCAGAGAGAAGCCTCTGAATTCAGAAACAAGAATGAGCAAAGAAAACTCAAAGTCCTGTTTTCATGTTCTTCTTGATTCTACCGTCAGAAAATTATATTTTATGGACAAGTGGTGTTCTCATTCTCATAAAGACAATTAATAAGTTTTCATGATTTTCCACTGTTATAGCCTACCCTAATGCATCTTTCAGTGCTGAATTTCCAAGACAATTCCAGGTGGACATAACAGAAATACATATTAGATAAAGGATGATTTTGTGAATGTTCCTACTCTTCTCTGCCTTGAAGAAGATGAGAGCCCTGTACCCATAGGGTCAAAACAGCCTTTTACTCTGCGGAGCTGGAATTGCCGCACAGCAATGGCTGGATGGAACAAATTCACTCTTTGAGAGGGCAGCATTCGTGAAGCATCGGCAGATGCACAAATGGTGAACAGACAGACATACTGAGAGAAAAGCATAAAGAACAAAGCCCACATACACAGAGACCTCCAAATCCCCAGAAAGAAAAAGCCCCACGTTAAACAGAACATTATGACAGAGTATTCAGAAGTACCTCGCTTTTCTGAGCTGGGCAAAGAGCATTGGGCTATTGCAGCAAGTGTGGGACTTGTCTACACAACTGTGCCATTCTGTTATAGCAATGAAGAAGTAAGAGTTTCATGGACTGGTCTGATAGCAAGAGATACAGGAGAATAGCTGGAGTACTAATCCCCTTCTTAAAGCCTATCAGAAATGACAATATCAGAGATGAAGCATATCACAGCCAGAATGAGAGACCAGCTTTCTCTAATTTGCTTCTACTTTTCCCTTCTGGAGAACCTGACAACTTCTATTCTGAAATAGAATATGAAGGAAATTGGTTATGGCATTGGAAACACAAGTTTTCTCTGAAGGATCCATTGCCAAATGCCACTGCCTGGATCCCATTCTCCAATGAGCATTGAAGCCTCTGGCAGTGCAGAGCCCAGCTAGTTGAAGGAAAGAGAATTGAAGTGTCCTGCAGAGAGAGTGCCAGGATTGTCTGGTGCCGTGTCCTCGGTGCTGACAGGGACACAGGGGAAATGCTGTTCATCCTCCGGGCCCTGGCCCACGGCGCAGTGCTGTGGTGGCACGCTGGGCAGGATGGGCTTGAGGAATTTGAACTCGCTGTTGCCCGAGCCCGTTGTGAGGCTGATCTCGTAGCAATAGGCGCGGGGCAGGCTCCCTGCAGCGGCCCCATCGGCCAGGCCGCTCTGCAAGTTGTCGGCACCATAAAGCACATGGCCAGCCTTCAGCTCCTTTCTCTTGCACACCTTGCGAGCCACAAAGAGTGCGGTGGAGACCAGGAAGAGCAGGGAGACACACACCAGGGCAATGATTAAATAGGTGGTGAGGGAGCCAGCCTGATCCTCTGGCGCCGGGCTGCTGTGCCCGGGGAGGCGCACGTCTGACAAGTCCTTGAGCAGGAGCGCGCTCACAGCTGCCGTGGCCGACAGGGGCGGCTTGCCGTTGTCTCTGACCAGGACAAGGAGCTTCTGCCTCACGCTGTCTCTCTCCGTCACCGGCCTCCTCAGACGCACCTCCCCGCTGTGGACACCCACCGTGAACAGCCCTGGCTCGCTGGCCCTCAGCAGGTGGTACGAGAGCCACGAGTTCTGCCCGGAGTCGGCATCCACGGCCACCACTTTGGTGATGAGGTAGCCCGCCTCGGCCGACACGGGCACCAGCTCACTGGACGCTGGGCTGCTGTCCTGGCCTGGGTACAGCACGAGCGGGGCGTTGTCGTTCTCGTCCAGCACCACGAGGCGGACGCTGACGTTGGCTCTGAGGGGAGGAGAGCCCGCGTCAGAGGCACTGACCGTCACCTCCGCCTGCCTCAAGCGCTCGTAGTCCAGGGGCCGCAGCACAAACACGTGCCCGTTCTCAGAGTTCACAGACACGCACGAGCACCAAGGCCCCTCTGCCGCCTGCACCGCTGCCAGCGAATAGCTCACCTTGCCATTGAGCCCCACGTCAGCGTCGGCAGCGCTGACGGCTCCAACAAACACCGTGGGCACATTGTTCTCACGCACGTACATGGTGTACGACGTCTGGTTGAAGACGGGGGCGTTGTCATTGACATCCGAGATGTCCACGGTGAAGGTCTGCGTGCTCGTCAGAGGAGGCGACCCCGCGTCTGCCGCCGTCACCCTGAGGATGTAGCGAGCCGTCTCCTCGCGGTCCAGCGCGCTCACTGTCACCAGCTCATAGTAATTCTTATAGGCTGGCCGCAGCGAGAAGAAGAGCTGATCCTCGAGGCCACACGAGATCTTCCCGTTGGCCCCAGAATCCCGGTCCCTGACCGTAAACAGGGCAACCACCGTGCCGGGCGCTGTGTTCTCGGGGAGGGGACTGCTGAAGGAGCTGACCACCACCTCTGGGGCATTGTCATTCACATCCACCACCTCCACCAGCACTTTGCAGATGGCTGAGAGCCCACCACCATCTGTGGCACTTACTCTCAGTTCGTGACTTTGTGCTGCCTCAAAGTCCAGAGGTTTTGTGGTTTTAATTTCACCAGTTATGGGATCAATCACAAATGCTGAGTCACTCTGCCCCAGTGCGTGGCTGAGTTGGTAAGAAATTTCCCCATAAACTCCTGCATCCTGATCTCTTGCCAGCACCGTTAAAACTACAGACCCTTCTGGCATGTTCTCCAGGACTTTTCCAAAATAACGCTCTTGTGTGAATATGGGAGGATTGTCATTTACATCTAGAATGACAATTTTCACTTCAGTTGTCCCAGTCCTGGGAGGAGAGCCACCATCCACAGCAATGACACTGAAACTCATCTCTGACTGCTCCTCTCTGTCTAGTGGCTTCTCCAAAACAAGTTCAATATATTTGTCATCCTCACTCCGACTTCTATAAGCGACACTAAAGTATTCGTTCTCAGGAGAAATGCTGTATGCCTGGACTGTGTTGCTGCCAATATCGAGGTCCTGAGCTGCCTCCAGAGGGAAACGTGAACCCAGGTCGCTCTTTTCCGTGATGTCAAAAGTCACTCGTTCCTCGGGGAAGACGGGTGAATGGTCATTGATATCCTCCAGAGCCACCTCGACCCGAAAGAACTGCAGGGGGTTGGAGAGCAGCAGCTCGAAGGGGAGCATGCAGGTGGCGGACTGGCCGCACAGCTCCTCCCGGTCCA